AGTCCGGAGTTCAGATATCCGATGGAGCCTTGGTGTACAGTCGCTGGTTTACTACTGCGACTGTTTGGGCACGTTTCGTGAATGCTTGTAGAGAGGAAGACGAAAAGGCTACTACATCCTCGACTTGCCGATCGAAGACCCTAGAGAGGACCAAGAATGACTGGGCCAAATGACTAGAGGGTCTCTGGTGGTGTAAATGACCAGCATATGGGACGATATATCATTCTCTTGTCTCTTCTTGCTCTGATTTCACACGTCGTAGTGGCACATTCTTCTGGTAGTCTGAGGAACTGCTTAAGGAAGCCACGACTACATGGTATTTTAGCGCCGTCACTAGATTGGCGTGAAACAGCGCCTGCATATTTTCCTTTTCATAACCGAACGTCGTCACTTAAATTTTGTCCTTGATCTGAAACACTCTCTTTTGGCCAGCAGTTATATCGCCCTTTCCTTCAAGCATTGAGATGGTCTTTGGTAACGGCAATCTCTTTGACTTTTCCAAAATCTTGAGGTTGTACTTCTTCGAGTTTCAGTGGATTAGTCTCATCGCCAAACACAACTCCGTCAGTCGCAATCGCAATATTACTACAGCGTGTTTCGATTATCACCAAATCCAAACTCTTTGACAGCGATGTTTGCAAGTCAACTGTTAACCTGTTCAGAATGAGCGTTATTGAAGCCTTCCCGTCTGTCATACTCTAAAAAATGATTAGCAACGGCCTCCTCCGTTGACTGATCAGTTCCATGCAGTGTCATTCTTATCGACGGCACAGAAAACTAGCGATTTGCTTTCCCATAATAACGAACGCATTTTTGGTTTATATAACTATGGCTGCATCTCTCCATCGGTAAATTACAACCAGCTACGATTAGGTGGTGGGAATCGGACGCGGTCTCTTAAAATGGTGAGGAACGTTGGCTGATCAAAGGAGAAGTGCTCGTGTCCATTAAACCGAAAGCTCAGGGTGCCGACAGCGAGATAAACGAGCATTTTGATCAGCGCTATGTACAGTGTAAGTTCAGTTAGTAGGTAAACGAGGATTAGTCCTCGATGATTAACAAAGGTTCCGCAGCGTATAAAAAGACCAGTCCGCGGAGAATGATGATTACGGAATGATAATGGATATCGAAAACAGGCTCGTATCCAAGATGCCTTGTTAACAGTTGTTGCTTTGCATAGGATCATGTCGTGTTCAGTGAAGGCATCCCACGGTTTTCAATCAAATTCTGCATCCTGTTCGCTAGTAACCCCAAGACATTCACAGGACA